AGACCCCCTGACAGACAAGGTTGTCAAGACCACCTCCCCTCCCTAATGGGTAAGTTTTCCAAGCAACCAAACCCCAACAAGCAAGGGTGTCAAACATATCCACCCTGCCAAACGGGCAAGGTCTTCAAGCCTGCCCCCCTCTAACCAGCAAGGTTAGACACCTCCAGCATTGCAGCATTGGTGTCAGTCGCCTTCACTACCAACTTTTGGTGTCAGTCGCTGCAGTCATAACCCTCGGCATTGGTGTCAGTCGCTGCAGTCATAACCCTCGGCATTGGTGTCAGTCGCTGCAGTCATAACCCTCGGCATTGGTGTCAGTCGCTGCAGTCATAACCCTCGGCATTGGTGTCAGTCGCTGCAGTCATAACCCTCAGCATTGGTGTCAGTCGCTGCAGTCATAACCCTCAGCATTGGTGTCATCTGTCGCAGTAATAGCCCCCAGCATTGGGGTCAGTCGCCGCAGTGATAGCCCCCAGCATTGGGGTCAGTCGCCGCAGTGATAGCCCCCAGCATTGGGGTCAGTCGCCGCAGAGATAGCCTCCACAATTTGGGTGTCATTACATTGGGGTCAGTCGCCGCAGTGATAGCCCCCAGCATTGGGGTCAGTCGCCGCAGTGATAGCCCCCAGCATTGGGGTCAGTCGCCGCAGTGATAGCCCCCAGCATTGGGGTCAGTCGCCGCAGTGATAGCCCCCAGCATTGGGGTCAGTCGCCGCAGTGATAGCCCCCAGCATTGGGGTCAGTCGTCTCCAATACCAACTTTCTAGTATTGGTGTCATTCACCGCAATAACCCTCAGCATTGGAGTGATTTGCCGCAGTAATTTATTTATTACAGGTATTTTATATAGCGCAGACAATTTTTACGCATCACTTTACATAGTTGCACATTCACATCAGTCCCTGCCCTCAAGGAGCTTACAATCTAAAGTCCCCATCTCACATACAGGGGCAATTTAGACAGGAGCCAATTAACCCACCAGCATGTCTTTGGAGTGTGAGAGGAAACCGGAGTACCCAGAGGAAACCCACACAATGCTGCCCTATAACCTCCAGCATTAGTGTGATTTGCCGCAGTAATAGCCCCCAGCATTGGTGTCAGTCACCACCAGTACGAACTTCCTAGCATTGGTGTCATCCGCCGCAGTAATAACCCCCAGCATTGGTGTGAGTCGCTGCAATAATAGTCCCCAGCATTGGTGTGAGTCGCCGCAGTAATAGCCCCCCAGCATTTGTGTGAGTCGCCGCAGTAATAGCCCCCCAGCATTGGTGTCATTCACCTCCAGTACTAACGTTCTAGCATTGGTATCAGTCACCGCAATAACCTCCAGCATTTGTCGGTCACCTCCAATACCAGCTTCCTAGCATTGGTGTGAGTCACCGCAGTAATAACCGCCAGCATTGGTGTGAGTCGCCGCAGTAATAACCGCCAGCATTGGTGTCCGTCGCCGCAGTAATAACCGCCAGCATTGGTGTCCGTCACCGCAGTAATAACCGCCGACATTGGTGTCCGTCACCGCAGTAATAACCGCCAGCATTGGTGAGAGTCACCGCAGTCATAACCCCCAGCATTGGTGTCCGTCGCCGCAGTCATAACCCCCAGCATTGGCGTGAGTTGCCTCCATAACCCCCCACCAGCATTTCTTTTTCACCCCAATAATAGCCGGTGACATTTGCAACAGTAACTTCCAGCATTGGTCTGTCGCTGCAAGAATTGGTATAACTTTCCCTCAATAGCTCCAACTATGGATGTCAGTCGCCTTTTCGTAATTCCTTTTTAGTTAACTCTGTAATATCTCCCAGCTTTGGTGTCATTTGCCATAATGGTAAGTCCCAGCATTGGTCTCAGGCACCACAATAATAGCTACTGGTGTGTATCCTCAATTACAACCTCCAGCTTTGATGTCAGTTGCCACAATAGTAACCCTCGGCATTGGTCTCACTCACTGCAACAATTGTGAGTCACCTCAATTCTAACTCCCAGCATTGGTATTGGTAACTGCAGT